TGAATCGCCGTGAGTACGCAGTGGCGTTTAAAGCTGCGATCAATCAATGACCACAAGAAAGGGGAGACTGACTCGTGCCTATACGTATACACGTGGAGGTAGGCAAAAGAAGTTCAGTCGGTCAATGTTGCTCCTCGCGTTTCAGGGTAAACAGATCTGTTAGTGATTTTTAATGTATTTGCAGAATCACGCTCTCATACGCATGACGTGAAAAAACTCACAAAGTACGCAATCCTGTAAATACATTTTTTGATGATTCGTAGCTCTCGGTATAGTGCTGCTCGCAAAAGAAAAAAAAAAAAAAAAAAAACGAGGGAAAACGAGATCGCCAAAAGTTATATCTCACAATGATGAATTGTACGATTTCCATTTATCGGAAACGATGAAGATGTAGAGTTAGAGGCTGAAAATAAATGAGAGAGAAATTCATCCGCTAATCAGTTTGATGAAACAGATCGAGCTGCAAAATGAAGATAAAATTCACGGCTTTTCTGACGCAGGGAGCGGAAAATCTCTTCCTTGCGATAAAAAGACGATGGAGATTTTCTCGCTTCCCGCCCCGACGTGAGCAAATCAATCACTGGCAAAGTGAACTGCGCACGTATTCTCGCCCGCTTTCACGAGAGACGAACGGACTCGTGGATCGCCAGAACGTAATTCTGCGTCGCTATGGAGAGTGCGTGGTCCTCCGGTGCTCAGAGAAAGCTGCGGGAACTTGGCGACAGGAGCTGCTTTGGCCTCAAAGCTTTTATACGCTGAATTAAAATTTCAGCGCTCTGGTCTTCCGGGAAAGAGCTTTTGACGAGAATATGACAGAATGAGGGTGAGCTAGGGAAGCGCGCTGATTTTTCCTGCTTTGTGCGCTGCGAGTAGGGTGGATGGGGGTGTGTTGGAAAACGTTGTGATTAATGAGATGGATGGCTGGTGAGTTTCTTTTTTTTTGAATTTTTCATATTTCTATGCGTGAATACGTATTCTGTTTTTCTCTAGTTTTTATGTCGCGTTTGAATTTTAACTCGCGTATTTAACATTTCTGGTGTTTTTCGTTTACTTTTAGGAAATGGAGATGAAGAAGCTCTCGTTGTTAAGTTAAAATACTTGTGTGAAATTCAAATGATTTCACCTATTTTGTTGGAGTACAATTTTTTTCTGAAATAGTAAAAATTTACTTTTATCCATGTATAAATATCCATGGTAATCTGGTGCTGTAATTTTGATTTCTATTTTGACTGTAATTAAACGTGTGGATATCTGTTTATAACAAAAAACTAAGCTTTTGCATATTTATCACCTGAGAAAAATTGTTTTGCGGTTGTTTCACAACTGAAAACAATGTGACCTTGCACGACGGGTAAGATGTTGAATGTTACCTATGGATAAGTTGAATCATGGAATTCAGATAGAAACAATTACATTGAAAGTATTGTTAAAAAACTGTCGAGTGATCATGCGGGCTATATTTTTATATTGTAACACCTGTCTATCTTTTCACGTTGAATATCATTTCACGATACTAGGATTTGGTTTAAAAATTTACATTCCAGTTGTAAGCTGGTAGTTTTAATGATAATATAAACTGTAAAAAAGTAGTCACTTTTTCGTGTGCATTAGAAAGAATAGTAAGAAAAAGCAGCTTTTTTTACACCTTGACGCTTACTAAAACTAATACTCAGAGTTAATGTTTTAAAAATTAAGTAAACACATCCATTATCAAGTCATTTTGATACATATTTTTTACTAACAATCAGTATGAATTTTTAACTGCTGCCGAAAATACTTCTACGAATGATAACAATACTTGAAAATAACTTTTTTTTTCCTCTTATCTAGAATATTTCAACTATCAAAAAACGGTGATACGACTTTTTTACAGTAATCATCATCGCCGTGAATAAGTGGTAAAAAAAGTTAATTATAAGTTTCCCAATAATATCATTGAGATACATAATTAAACGTAATAAGATGCAGTGAAATTCAACTCACACTATTGTTTTCTTTAGCTATTCGTATTTTACAACCCTACTTCGTTAATACGTGACCAAACATACATTTTATCAATTTATTGCCATAAGAATAAATTGTGTTCATTTGAAACCTACAAGATTTGAATTCCACCGTTTATCTTCCAAATGTGAGCTAAAAATGTAAGCTGCCAACCCACATCTCTCCGAAAATTATTTTACACAAAAAAATAATCACTTTATGTACAGTTTCGCTTCATTTATCTCTTGAAAAAATTCCCAATGATTGCAATACCCGCACACGTGCTGTTTGTCCAAGATTATCATTTACGAGAAACTTGAAGGCAAACGGACAAGCAGCTCGGCAGTGCTCCACGATGATCTTCACATATGACCTAAGTTCAGCTGCCTATTACCAAAGGAAGAGAACTCGGTGCAAGGAATGCCCACGGGGTACAAGAGTTTCGATCTCGGGGGAAATACGGCATGACTCGCTTGGCTCTTGAAAAATCAATAAATCCAATATTCCCATGGTAAACGCTAAAACTGCATAAAAAAAAAAAAAAAAAAAAAAACTATCTCGTTTTTAATTTACGATAGCTATACACTAAAAGAAAACACCTTTCAAAAGTCAGATAGTAGGTCATTGGATCTGAAAAAAGGAAGAAAAAAAATTATATTCCAATCAAATAACTTCCGATGAATGAATCCATCGAAATCTCGTCCCAGGCATGAAGCATCACACGAGCGACTGTGCAGGCATTCCAATCCAAAGCATTCCCGCGCAGAGAACAAGCAAAGCAGGGAGTATAGAGAGATACGGCAAGAGATGACGTTGCTCGACTGTTTTGCCAGCTCGCGTACATGTATACACACACACACTCGCCCAACGGACAGTGACGTATTGTATTATCGCACGAGTCTCCCTATGCATATCCTATGCTTGCAAGCTCAATGCAACCTCCTTCCTCCCTCCTCGTCTCTTTGAGATGCGCACACGCGCACTTAAAATATTTTAGTACGACTGCGTAGCGAGAGAATGGGAGTCGAGACGTGTGCGTCGTTGTTTGTGGAGGGGTGATAACGATAGCCCGCCAAGCACCGTAATTTACGTCCACGTTAGGGTCGAGTTCGCGGCTTCGATGCGCGCTTGAAAGACGAGGGTGCGGCTGAGCTTGTCAGGAGTAGAAGGAGGAGTAGGGTCGACGGGGTTAGCGATTTTGATTGCACGTGCTGAGCTCAGGTCTTGGTTAGGGTGGGATGGTTGGCAGGGGGATGACGAGGACTTGATTGATTCCGATTGACGGGTTCCCGTTACGTGGAGGGATAGAGAGAGATAGGGATGGGTCGCGAAATCTTATTCTCATTTATGTCGATCGTTTGCGGTGACTCGGGAAATTTTCGGGATTGATTGCACACTCGTTACATACAGACGTTGATGGAGAGAAGTAGATTTTTAATTGGTTGTACCGGCGATGATTTCGTTCCGGGGTGATGGACGTTTTTTGACAACACGCAATTTGATTGTGTTGTCGTCACACTTTGTAAACTATACCAAATACGAGGTAGGAAAAACAATTAAAGAATATTGCATGTGGTTTGAAACAACTTACACGCATTGGCCAAATATCTTAAGATATTACACAACTGGTATTTAGGTACTCTTGTAAGGACTTGTTTCTCATATATATAGAGTCAATGAACCATTCATATTTTGTGAGGATCGATTAAATCATGGTAACATATATACTAAGAAATCGTTGACGAGACTGTAGTACATTTAACATAAACTTTAATTTTAACGATACGCTTGAAACTTTTTATCAATGACGATAAAAAAAGTCTAATCATCCGTTTGCAAGAGACGTGGAAAGGTAACATTGAAATATCAAAGGTAAACCGTCTGACTCTAAAAATATGCGGCTGAACGATAAAACTTTTACCAATGGCGATCGTTCGTAATATCGATTACATGGACACGATTTTTTCGCAGTTCATTGAAATGATAATGAAAATTCTCGGCAATACCTAATTAGCCCTGCTATTGAAAACGACGCCGTGAATGTATATTAATAATGTCGATGCTTCTCGATAACGGGTCAATCAAGCTAAATTCTCTCCCAATTTACAATCAGATGTACAGCATGAGCTCCTTCGCTATTACGAAAGCCAAGAATACACACGTATAGTTATATGAATTCAGCAGCGTCCCTTTTTCTTCAATAAGTCGTCTCCTCCGCTGCAGCTGACGCCTTTATAAATCTAATTCTCTGCTGCTGCAGTGCGCGCTCAAAGGTCGTACAATCTCTAGTTTCCTCCTCCTCTTTTTCATCCTCATTTTCTTCTTATTCCCAACTAAACGGCAAAGTTCGTCTTTGTCGCCAAATATAAATGTGCACTCGGTCCAATGGGTGCTCTCACCTCTGCCAGCATCAGCTTTTAACAAATTCTCCTGATAAAACGAGATGGAAAGAGCCAAGCTCTAATTAAATATGAACCGCTTTTGGCTTGTCAAACTCAAGGGATGCTTGTCCGACTGGAAAAAAGTGCACACTGTTACGAGCACTGTTAACTGTTGAACGATTTGTGTAACTAAAGAAATTTTTTTCTTTTTTTTTATGAGATTCTTCGTCTGTCTATTTTTTTTTCATCATGAAAAAGTGAATATTGGGTTTATACCATAGGGGAAATAGTAATTGTCACACAAAATCGTACATACGTTATTAAAAAAAAATCTCGTTTGATAAGTTAAAAGACAAAGGTTAAAAGATGAAAAATTGTTTGAGTTCTTTGCAATGACTGAATCCTTGTTTAGTCGAGGAAATCACCTTGTAATGGCGAGGCCAGCAAAAATACTGCCATCAAAAAATTAAAACCAAATAATCTGAATGAACATTTTTATTTAATGCTTATTAACTGATAATCTCATATAAATGTATGCGTCATATAATCCATTTATTTCAATACTAAATAAAATTAATTAGACAATTCAAAAGATTTCTAATATAAAAGAAAAACTTGTAATTTTTATGGTTTCAGACCGACTACAACCGACACCTCGAACAGCTGATCGATAAAACGGAAGGCCTACTAACTAGCTGCATAAGGACGAGAGTGAGCAAAAAAAACATTGGCCAAATAGCCAAGTACGAGGTCCTAGTCGAGCAAGTGCGCGAACTTTCACATGGTAAAACTCATCATTCCTCCCGTTTCTGTTTTCTCGTATTGAAAGTAGGTGACCAAAAATCCTTCTTTTTTTTTTTTTTTTTTTCACAGATGAATACGAATCGGTCACAATGGCCGCGGCCACCGAATTGTTTCTCGAAAAGATCGAGCGATTGGCGAGATTGCTGGGTGAAATGAAAAATTTCAAAAGTTCAATTATTACCGAGCTCGAGAAACTTGAAGATGACTTGGGCAAACTAAAAGAGTCCGTCGAGCAAGAGAAGTGTCTGAACGCGGGCGGTAAATTTGAATGGGTCGACAGCGTCCTCGTCAAGGTGAAAAAGTTTCTCTATCTCTCTTTCTCTTCTTACGATTCACCCAGACCTTCCTCCTGCAGAGTTTTAATAAGCTTTGGCCAATGCCTTCTGTCTTTGTATTTTAATCATTTTGGTGAAAATTTTGTGAATGATAAGTTTTGGATTTGATCAATGACTCCGTTTTTGTCATTTTATTTTTTTTTCTTTCATTGTTGATAACGTTAAGAGAAAAAAAATGTATTGCTCTCTCGATAAGTCAAAATGGCCTATTTTCAGTGTTTGCAAGAGGGGACGTGGCTGGTTATAGATCAAGTGAACTTATGTAGCCCTGCAGTATTGGACAGATTAAATGGACTGTTGGAGCCCAACGGTGTGCTAAGTATCGGCGAACGGGGTGTCGATCCTGAGGGCAATGTCGTCACTGTCAAGCCACACAAAAACTTCCGGCTCTTTTTGACGATGGATCCCAAGTACGGGGAAATTTCAAGGTAAATCGGATTTTACGAATATTTTCACTGAAATTCTACCTATACTTTTATTCAAGTTTAATCGAATCCGGCTGACTACATACTACTTGAATTTCTAACAGTATCAGTTGTCTGACGGTGGGTACTTTTTACCAATTTGAATAGAGTCGGTCTGATTAAGCTCGGCTGTTACTACTAAAATTATTGAGTATGACCTGTTTTTAGATTTTTTGTACGGCTTTGTTCAGACAAATGAAATCTGCTTGACGCTCACTCGCCCTGTTGCAAAACCATGCGTCTGTAAATTATAAAACCCATCAAATTACGTACTCGTAATTTTGTATAGATAGTCTGGCTACATGTGGCTTTTACTACTACAATTGATACTTTATGTGTATTTTATTAATTTGAATCGAAGTAGTCTGACTATACCCAACCATTACTACTTAAGTCACGAATTTTGTTTTTTACTTATATCATCGTATAACTATTTTATTGGCTTAAATTAAGTACTTTTACCACCGAAATGGCTCATGCGAAATAAAAGTAGTCTGACTACGTCCGGTTGTTACTACTGAAACTCGATCTATTAAATGCTTATACGTAGTTACATACTTTTCATTAATTTTAATCTAACCTGGCTGACTATTTATAGATCGTACTACTGAAATCGCGAATCCAATCTGTTATATGGTAATATTCGAAATTTTCATGGATTTAAATCTCATCGGTCTGACTATGCATGGCTTATACTACTGAAACCGCTCATTTCAAATTAGTCCAATTGTTTCTTGCCATCACTATTGAAGTAGTTGCGTTGCATTATGGGTCAGTTTTCTTTTTTATTACTGTTCAGGCTTCTTTTCAGTTTTTTAACAATAAATATATCGTATACTGAAAAGTAAAACTCAAGTCTGACCATACGTGGTTCATACTACTTAAATATTTATGTAGCTTTGATTATTCACAAAAATGAATTACAAAACTGCGTATTGCAATCGCCCAATATTCTGAACCGTCGATTTGAATGCTCATGAAAAAAAAAGTAGTAAGGAGTATAAAGTATTACGCATACAAACTCTATTTATCCACCGCTAAGCTTACGTCGCGCGACTGTCAATAATATCAACTCGACTTGCAGAGCAATGCGCAACCGAGGCGTGGAGATCTACATGCTCGGTCAGAGCGAGAGCCCGGAGACCGGCAAACTGGACTACCGATCGCTCCTGCACAACACCGGCCTCACCAAGCGCAAACACCAAGAGGCCCTGATGACGGTGCACCGTCGCATGTGCGAGGACGCCTCGAACTTTGACAACCTCAGCTCCGTCCACCTCCTCCGTGGCGCCTTCCTCGTTGCCCAACAACTGTCCCGTGGTTTCCCAGCCGTGCGCTCCTTCGAGACGGCCTGCACCGACGTCTACCTGAAATCCCGTTCGCTCAGCCATCGGGAGACCAAACACCGGCTCGCTGGCGTGATCGAGGAGACGATACGCGAATACGAGGTCGATGAAGACGGCAGCGACGATTACGTCCTTGACTTGGATGCCGTGACCTGCGGGCTCAGGAACCTCACGGACAACGCGAGACTGGCCCAGCTCAGGCAGCAGAGCACGCTCCTCGACTGGTGCGTCCGAGGCTTCTACGCCAGCAACGGGATCTCCTTCGGCACGGACTTTGTCAACGAGTTCTTTTCCGAGAGCAGCGATGGATCGTTCCCCAGCGTCGAGGTGCTCGAGCTCCTGCCTCACGTTCTGCTGGGTCTCTACGAGCACTCGACTCTTCGGGACGCGGGGATGCGAGAGCGCTGGGTGGCGGGTGTCCTCGGGGCCGACTCGAGGCTCGGGTCCCTGCTCAAGAAGAACGGGACGCTGGCTCGGGCGGTGATGTCGTTCGACCTCGTCGACTGCGACGCCGAGCTGCCCTGGGACAGGAGGGCCTTTGAGAATGCCAACACCTTGGCTCTGCTGCTGTACTACGAGACCCTCGTCGTGGACAGGGAGGAGCCCGACTGGAGGATCAGTAACGATGACAAGGCTATCAGTGTGGCCAAGTTCTCGGAGGCTTGTCGCCAAGGTGAGGCTAACGTATCAACTAGAAAAAATATATATTTTTTTTTTTTATGTTACCGTGGTAAATGATACATATGTTTTTTGAGGTGTAAATGTTCTTTTGAATAACGTTTCTTTATACTGAAAGAAAGTGTACGGCAATCGGTAGGCCAAGCTTTATTCCAACAAACCTATAAAGTGTTTTCCGTTCAAATTTCAGGAAAGATGGCGATAAACTTGAAAGACCAGCCTTTGGTAACGGAGTACGTTACGATACTACGGCAAACGAAAAAGTACTTGGACAACATGTTGAGAAAGAACGTGATAATAATCCACAATCCAAGGTACGTCCAGCTTAGACACAGTCTTAAATGGTTCGGCAGATTCTGCGAGGTAGGCAAGATGATTTTGCTGAACAAGTCGGACAGCTCCAAGAACGCGCTCGGCAACCTGGACGAGGTCGCACTGGTACTGAGGGTGCACTACAAGTGGCTCAAAAAGTTTATAAAACTCTTCGATGAGAGCTGCGACGTCTTCGAAATGGACGACGGCCTCGAGAGAGACTGCAGCGCTCTGAAGAGCATCATGAACCAGATCGACAGCAGTTTGACCTCGACGTACGACCCGTTCGCGAAAATCGGCAAAGTTTACAAGAAGCACATCGACTCGGCCCTCCCCTGCTCGTCGGACTTAGTTCTGAGGGTCAGCTCACAGCTTCGGAGTCTCACCGATTCGTTCTCGCCCACGACAAACAGATACATCACCGCTGATCTGATCAACGAGCCGAAATTCGTGACCTTCCAAGCAGAGGAGGTTCTGAGTAGTCGTGCTCGGCTGATTTCCCTGTGGCACAGCGTGTACGCCAACGAGCTGCTCGACGAGGACATTTTCGACACTTTAGAAAGTATAGGCAAGCTCTGCCAGAACCGGCTGAACGTCACCGAAGACTCAAGGTTGGAAACGAAAATGCCTTCGTCCAAGGAGCTTGCTAAGATGACGGGAAAAGTGCAGCTTTGGCCGCTTCACGAGCACATGTTCACCGTATTTGTCGAGATGCTTCGAAGAAGTCTCTGCGAGAGTGTCATCGCCGAGACCGAGCCGGATTCTTTGCCGTCGATCCACCTGTCCACCCGACACTGGAGCATTCCGAACATCCCTGTTGAGCTGCTCGCTGTGCTGAGTGCCATCTCCGCGAAGCAGATCAGCCCGGTGGAGAGGAACCGCCTGATACTCTTGCTCTTCGTCTGGTCCACCAAGTTTGCCGAGGACTCCTACGCGCTTAAAAACTTCAAGCAGGTGTCCCGTTGGAGCCTCGTTGGCCCGGAAAATAAGGACAGCAAGGCCCTCCAGGTTTCCGAGCCATCCGACCGAGCAAACGTCGCTAGCGGGCCAGTCCTTGTCAGCCTCGTCTCCGAGCTGCTGCTCAACACCGGCCGGTCGAGCACCGAAAGATCCGGCGTGACGCTCGGTAGCTACTCTGCCCGTCTGGACCAGCTCAGGACGCTCAACGACATCCTCTGGAAGAACAGTGTGGCTCTGAGCTCCCCGGACTTCGACCGATCGTCAAACGACCTGCGAGCCCTGACTTCGCTGCTGAAGAGCTTCCTGTGCGCCTGCGAGAAGGTCGAGGCCGACGAGTGCGTGAAGAACGCCCTGGGCAGCGACCGACTGACCGCCAGTGTCCGTGCGACTGTCGCGAGTGAGTACTTAAACCCGCTGCGCGAGCTACGCGGCGTTTCAGAGCTCCTCGAGTCGGACCCGAGTCTCGCGAACCGAGGCAGGGCTTGGGTACTTCTGGGCTACCTCCAAGCCTTCGTGTTCGGCAACGTCAGCTACATCGACCCCGTGTACAAGGTCGCGGTTAAGCTGCGCTACCTCGAGCAGGACATACTCGACTCCGAGCGGACGATTTACGTCGCCAGACTGTACTCGAGGATGCTCGGCGTAATGGATGAGGGTGTGCTGCATCCGAGGCACACCGCTATCGAGGCCGGCTTGAAAGAGCTGCTCGAGCGGAAGAGCGAGTTACAGAAATTAAAGGCCGTGAGGCCGGCTAACGCCGAATTTATCACTCTGTCCAAGGAGCTCTCGAACTTCAGGGCGGCCCTCGGTTCATACGCGATCGTCGGCAAGCATCTGCGACAGCTAATCGACGCGATCTCGGGTTCCAGCTGCGAGGATCTCGAGAGCGCGAAACTGGCTGGGCGTGAAGCTGAAATCTGGCTCGAGTCGCTGCGCAGCTTCATGAATCAGCTCGAGAATAGGTTCCTGCACGGCTACCCGGACATCGTCCTTCCGATCCTCACCGGGCTGGCCCAAATGCGTCATGGCGTTCGTGCGCTCGTCGACGAGAACAGCCGACTCGTAGCTATCGCCGAAACTGGCAACGCTGAACGACTGGGCCACCTCGTGCGCGACCTCGTTCGTTTCCCCAGTCTTGGACCCGGACAGGACAGCCTCCTGCGTTTAGCGAGCTCGTGCTGTTCGCGTACCAGCCGTGAGCTCTTAAGTGCCTGCGTCAAAATCGACGGCGCGTTCGTCGTCCTGCAAGAGCAGTTCCGGCTGACCATAGCTGGTCTCTACGAGTTCTACAACTACGTTGCCCTCAGAGGTAGCCTGACCAAGGATCTGTGGTCCGAGTTGAACGCCCTCTTGCAGCAGGTGCTCCTCATCTGGAGGCAGCAGCAGAAAGAGCTGGAGAAGCGTGAGTTGGAGAAGGATAGCTTGTACAAGAGCAGAGTCAAGGTGCACGAGGACCTCACCGAGGAGGAAGAAATCGCGAGGGAGCTGAAGAGCTTGTTCCCCACGCAGCGTGAGCAAGATTTCGCGGACATCGACACCGCCGTGATGCCGAGTTTGGAAAAGAAGTTGGTGGACGAAGGCGCGACCGAGGACTACGTCTCGCTGATCACCGAGCACGACGTCCAAGAGGTAACGTGTGCTCGAAATTCTTTGCATGGCATTTGAAAAACTCCAATAACCGTGTACCTTTCCTCCTTTAGGTTCAGACGATCCACTCAAGCATCGTAAAGTCCTTCACGTCATCCGAATGGCTCAGCAAAGCAGCCAGCGCGACGCGACCGGATTTCATCGAGCCGCTGCTTCAGCGTTACAACGCGTTTGGCCTTCTGTTGGACAATTTCGCGCCAGTCCTCGGCAGCGAGTTGGCTGTTCAACTCCATCCTAGTCTCAACGTCTTTACCCAACTGGTCCTCTGTCTTGGTAAGGGTGAGGCCCTGAACCCAGAAAGCTGGCTAAGCACCAATAAAAAAACCAGCAAGCCCTACGACTACTACCGCGACAGCAACGTCGAGCAGGTGCGCCAGTGTGCCCCACTTCTCGATCAAATCTCGAACCGCGTCAGCGAACTGCTGAACGAGTGGCCCGAGCACCCAGCTCTCACTTCCATATCCATCATATTGCACAGGATCAACTCTTTCCCCGTGACCTCGGCTCTTTCGAGATTCCTCACCGGTCTCGAGCTTCTGCTCGTTAAAATGCGCGAATGGGAGGAGACGGCGCACAGCGGGGTATCATTGCAGGAGCTCAGTCTCAGTTTGACCCACCAGATCATCGCCTGGCGGCAATTGGAGCTCGCGTGTTGGAAGGATTGCTTGACCACGGCCAAGATACGGCTTGCCGCCCAGGCGTCCAAGTGGTGGTTCTTCTTGTACGATCTCTTTGAGAGCTTCGTCGTGAAACAAGACTCGACTGGTAAAGCTACCCGCTATTGTTAGATTGAATTCTTTTTTTTTCAATTTTATGAAAAACTAATTCTTATTTTGCAATTACAGACAAGGTTGGCTCCGAAGAGATTCTAACAGCAAAGAAGCTAATTGAGTCGCTGGAAAAGTTCATGAGCGAATCGTCCCTTGTCGAGTTCGAGCCTCGGGTGCAGTTGCTGCTGACATTCCACTGTCACACGTACTATTTGGAACCAAGCGTATCAAGGGACGAGCTGCTCGCCATCTCTTGGAACATCTTCAAGTACTACAGTCAATTCCTGCCCCTCGTCAGCAATCAAATGAGCTCGATCAAAACACCCATTGAAAAGAAATTGAAAGATTTCGTGAAAATCGCTCGCTGGAACGACATAAACTACTGGGCTGTGAAAGAGACGGTAGAAAAAACTCATCGCACGCTTCACAAGTTCATCAAAGAATACGAAAATGGTCTAAAAGAACCGGTCACGCCTTTCTTGGTCGTCAAACCAAACTACAAAACCACCCAGGTTAGTTATACGATCAAGCAACGCTGCTTGAATACCTTGACAGCAGTTATCATTTTTTCATGCGACTTTTCAGGGCATCTGGGATCGTCCAAGCACCGAGCACAGCACAACCGTCAATCTCAATGATTTTATAAGCCTTTTACCCACAACCGAGCCCGACAGCAGTGCTCCCTCCTCGAACAAGAGCGACGTGATCTCACGAGTAGACAGCCATTACTTCACGCGTGCCAAGAAACTCTGTAGAGACATCATCTCGTGCTCAAAGTACCCAGACCTCCGTGTCAGCCTCGAGGAGTTTATCGAAGAGTACGTCGACTACAGCGAGCGGTTGCGCACCCAGGAGATCAATCGCACGTTACCAAAGCCCAAGCAAAAGTCTCAGGCAAAGGCTATCCTCACGCGCAAACGTACCGCACTGGCCGATTACTTTAAAACCTTGACAAACTACGGTGTGTCCCAACGCGTGGGTAGTCTCGCGTGGAAGAACAAGGTCGAGGACGTGCTGGACTTTACGATCGCACCCATCGAAGTTACAGCTGCTTTGAGTTCAGCGAGCTTTGGCGCTGTCGATAAGAAAGTGCTCGAGCAGTGGGAAGGCTGTGAAAGGTACTTGGCATTTAGTATTTTTTAAATACATTATGCATTTACGATTGAGCTAATGTTATTTATCATCAATTTACAGATACTACTACAATTCACTGATTAAATTGAATGCCCTGAATCGTACACTCCTCTCGTCAAAGACCGATCTTGGTATACAAAACATCGAGTCATGCCGAGGCTTCTCCACCCATCTCATGCTGATGGCCAACAGCCAGAAGAAAACTCTTGCCTCTGTCCTTAAGTACTTTGCGGGATTGCGATCTCACGTTTTTAACTTATCAAACGTTGAGGTTGAAGACCTTGTTATTACGAAACAAAACGATCTCTCGGTCAGCGTCAACAGCTTGAAAGAACTACTGGTCACCGTTCAAACTTGTCTCGAGCAGTTTTTGATCTACTTGCAAGCTTGTCCGACGGAAATACAGTTGGAGGGCGAAGACGACAGCTACAGCCTGGCTAGTAATAATCTGCCGATCGTCAACTGTAAGAAAGGCGATGCAGACTGGACTAAAGCGAACGAACAGATCAAGCGTTGTTTAGCTGCTGTAGTGGATGTTTCGAAAAAGTTTGTTGATACATTCCCCGATTCGTATGCTATTCACAGTGAACATTACGAAAACGAATCTCAAATTTCGATTATTACGTCGAAGCACTTTAGCTTTATGAAGTCGAGCTTCAACTCGTTGAAGACCGTCAAAGATACGATCAATGACTTTGCAGCTAGTTTCAAAGTATCGTACCAAGAGAAACACCCGTTACTGGATAATATTGTATTCCTTGAATCAAGTATCAGCAGAAAATTGAAGGAGTTTGATGAAATAACTGCTTCTCTTGAACAGCAGTCGATGACTGATGTTCCTAGTCATGAGGATGATTCGATGGAGGAGTATGAAAAAGAAATAGAAAAGTTAGTGAACAACGTCTTGATTGTCATTCAAAATAAGTACAAAAAGAAACCAGTTAAAAAACAAGTAAAAGCAAATCAGAATGAAAATGAAGAAGAGGACGAAGAGGAAGATGTGCCAAACAAATTGCGGGAACGACTAGTCGAATCCATCGAGGTGGACGTGAAATCACTCCAAGTGAAAGAAGTTTATCTGAACCTGAACAACTTGTTAAAAGCCATTCGTAATGCTGACCCAGCAATTGCTGTAAATTACAGCAGACTTTTAAAAAAATGTTTGCCACTCCTACAGCAGTACCTTCTGCTTGCCCAGTACTTCCTAAGTGAACAAGTCGCCTCCTTGCGAATAACGTGCAAGATCCTGCACAAACAACTAAACGTATTCCTTGATCTGGCAGCCAATGGTTTCTGTATGCCGAAAGATCTTGACCTCGAGGAAGGCGACGATGGAGAACAAAGTGAGCAAAAGGGTGGTATGGGTCTGGGAGACGGTGAAGGCGAGAAAGACGTATCGGAGACTATTGAGACAGAGGATCAACTGGAAGATGCCAAGCCGGCTGGCCAGGAGAAAGAGAAGCCGGACGATAAGGAGATGCCCGAGGAAGAGAAGGGAATCGAGATGTCCGAAGACTTTGAAGGACAGCTGCAGGATGTCGAGAAGAAGGAGGACGACGAGGAGGATAATAAGGAAGAGGAAGACGAGGACATCGACAAGCAAATGGGTGAGACGGAAGACGGGGCCGATAAACTCGACGAGCAGATCTGGGGCGATGACGAAGAAGAGCCGCAAAGCGAGGAGACCAACAAGAACGAGGATGAAGTTGGAGACGGTGAAAAGACGGGTGAGAAAGAATTTGGGGCTAAGGATGAGCGTGGGCAGAACGAGGATTCTAAAGACAAGGGCGACAACGACCAAGATGAGACCGAAAGAGAACAGCAGAAGGAGATCAACGAGATGGAGGAGCCGCAGTACGACGATGACCAGGTGAATCCCTATCACGGCAAGCACCAACCGGAACCCGAGCCGGAGCCTCTCGACCTTCCAGATAACGCGGATATGAACGACGAGGACGAGGATATGAAAGACGAGGAGCAACAAAACGAGGAGAACCCGTTCGACATTGATAAAATGAAGGAGGCCATGCCGCCACCCGAAGAGGAGGTGAAAGAACCCGAAAATCTCGACGAAGAGATGAAAGACGAGGCTGAGAACAAGAATGCTGACTCGAGCGACGACGAGGGAGATTCTGAGAAGCCTGGCGAGCGCACAGACAAGGAGGATGTTGCAAATGAAGAAGAAGAAGCTGACAAGGAGACAGACAAGCAAGGACCAGAGGCAGCCAAAGAAAATCAAGGCGAAGACGAGGAAGGAAAGAAAGAAGAAGAGCCAGAAAGCCAAGCCGTGCCTAGTATGGACGAGTCGGCCATGGAGACAGATGCTGCGGACCAAGTCGACCAGAGAGAAGGTGGCTCTCGCGATCAGGTCGCCAATCAAGCTGAGACAAAACTGGACGAGCCCGATGACGAGTCAAAAGCCGAGAATTGGCAGGAGGAGCAAAAGGACAAGGGCACGGGTCAATCGCACGCTGAACAACACGATGCTGGACACTCTGGTGCTTCAGAGGAAAAGAGCGATCCGACAGCCAATCGGGACGTGGAAATGGAACGGGTAAAATAATTTGTTTACGTTTGTTGGTGATCATTGATCGGCAGTTCTGTTAATTTGTAACTTGGTGTATCTTACTTTTGCAGGACAAGAAGCGCCAGCATCCAGGCAAGAGCGACGAGGATCACAAGCTCGCTGAAAAGATAGAGCCCGATAAAAAGAAGGTCAAGACGATGATATACTCGCAGGACGAGACGGGGGGCAATGAGGATGACAAAGAAGAAGGTGCAGAGCCAGAGGACAAGGGCGATCCGGACCTTTGCCAGCACGTGAAGGAAAAGGAAAAGTTCGATCATTATGCAGTGGATGCCGCCACCGAGGAGCAGTCCAAGGAGCAAGCCTCGAACATGGAGAAAGAGGAGACTCCGAAGGATGAAGAGCAACCGGGTGACATAGATATGCACGAAGACGAGGAGATCGCAATCGACGAGACTGTCGTTAAACCGCAAAAGCCGGAAAGCTTGGACGAGGAAACGTCTAAGGACAAAAAGGATTCGAAGGAGAGAGGTGAGTGAGGCATCGAACGAGTGAGATTTTTTTGCTGTACCATAGTGAGCTGATGATATTTATTGAAAATGTTGCACAGGTCGCGCAGAAAATGATCAGCTCGAAAACGCTACTACGGTCGAGGGCGAGGACGTGAAGACCGCAAACGTCCCTCGCGGGGGTGACTCCGTTTTCGTTACTAATTTAACCGAGCTCGAGGTCGAGGCTCTGTCGAGCAAGCAGATCGAGCAGCGTCGCCTGGAGGTCGAGATGATGCTTAGCCAGTGGCAGCAAGTGCCCACGACCGAAGAGGCAGTCGAAGCCTGGAACACCCTGAGCTCAGTGACGGACGCAGCGGCACGCGACCTGTCGGAAAAATTACGTCTGGTCCTCGAGCCGACCCAAGCCTCCAGACTAAAGGGCGACTATCGCACGGGACGCAGGATCAACATGCGGAAGATCATTCCGTACATAGCCAGCCAGTTCAGAAAGGACAAGATCTGGATGCGAAGAACCAAGCCCTCCAAGAGAGACTATCAGATTATCTTGGCAATCGATGACTCGAGCAGTATGGCTGATAATCATTCCAAAGAATTGGCCTTTGAATCGTTGTCTCTGATAAGTAAGGCCATGACTTACTTGGAGGCTGGGCAGTTAGGTGTTGTTAGCTTTGGAGAGAAGACCAGCATATTGCACCCTCTGGGAGAAACTTTCAGCGAGCGCAGTGGCTCACGGTAAGTGATTAGCAAATTTGTTATTTACGTCGTTTTAACAATGGTTTAATGTTTATTTATTTTTTTAAAGGTTGATGCAAGAAATGAGATTTGAACAGAAACGAACGATGGTTCACCAGTTGGTGGACTTTACTGTGGACATGTTCCAGAGTCTCAATAGCTCATCCGATAATGCTAAACTACTTATTATTCTGTCAGACGGTAGGGGCGTTGATTCTGAAGGCATGCAGAAAGTCAATCGTGCCGTCCGTAGAGCTCGTTTAGCTGATATTTTCTTAGTTTTCATAATAGTAGACAATCCACTGAGCAAAGTAAGCTTTTTATTCCGCCATAACGTTGAGATAAGAAATTTTTTAATGTTCTGCGTAATAATCTTTGTGTTTTTTTCAGAGTTCCATACTAGACATCAAGAGACCGATCTTTCAAGATGGCAAAGTAGCTGGTATGAGTTTGTATATGGACGATTTTCCATTTCCATTTTACATGATTCTTCGAGACATCAATACACTTCCTGGTGTTTTGAGTGACGCTCTCAGACAATGGTTTGAAGTAGTAGGAAAAATTGATTCCTAAGTAGAACGCGTGTGTTTCATTCTAAATTCAATCATGTGTGTTTGTGATGTAAATATTGCATACTACTTTGTAAATAAATATTTTTTTACAGTTGGATGTTTTCAGATTTTTTATTTCACAACCATCTCATTTTCCGTAAATCCAATTTACCACGTAATATTCATTTCCGTTGTGTATTTTTCGTATACCACGTCCGATTGTTGTCAAAAATAGCGCCGATTGAGCGATTCTTGCGAATAACCTCTATACATTGACTACCTACCCCCGGAGAAGTTCTTCGATCTCCTAGATTGTATGTCACCGGTCATACATACATATATTTTTTGTATCTAAAGTCATACATATTTATAATGTAATTAGGTAATTTGTTATTACACTCACACATAGTGAGTTAGTGACAATTGTTGCAGTCCGCCAGAGATAGCCGCTGCGGTGTATACTGTATACGCACAGTGCACACGCACTCAGTCTGCACATTTCATTTTTACAATCAGCGCCATCTAGCGTTTTGGATTTCGCGGACTGACGCAAACTATTTTCTAGGGGAACCGTCTTGAAAAAAACCCTAGATTCTAGTGATTTCTGGAAGAAGTAAATCACTAGATATATATAGATATATTATAGTAGGTCAAAAATCGCAGCGTGAAGGGTCTATTTGCGTGCTTCGAAATACGCAATATGGCTCGAAACTGATGGTCGCATGCATACTAAAAATACTCAAATTTGTCAAAAATGTGTGTACATTTAAAATGAACATACAATTAATTGTTATAACAATTAATTATGTCACCCACGCACGGCTAGACCCCATTGCATCAGTAGATACCTCGTCGTCGGTAGCGTCGGTCAACTGTCGATACTGCAGAGCCGACATTATCCTTGCTGTACCGACTGTTGGCTGACTCGGTCGAACTGGAGGTCTCCCTCTTATCACATGTCGACCGTCGGTACAGCACACAGCAGGGTTAGCAACACTAGATGGCGCTAGATTCAAGTGCAATTTCGACCGACAAGCTTTGGGGGTCTATGCATTTGCGTGCTTCAATATACGCAATACAACCAACGCGAGGCATGTGTAGTATATAGGGGATATTTGTTACATTTCTGGCAAATTTGAGTATTTTTAGTATGCATGTGACCATCAATCTCGATACCCGTATTGCGTATTTCGAAGCACGCAAATATAGAACCTTCACGTCTGCGATTTTTGACCTACTACAGTATATCTATATATATCTAGTGATTTACTTCTTCCAGAAATCCCTAGAATCTAGGGTTTTTTCCAAGACGGTTCCCCTAGAAAATAGTTTGTGGCAGTCCGCGAAATCCCAAACGCTAGATGGCGCTGATTCACTATACACGAAATACACTAAATACACGACAATTGCGTGTTTAACAGAATCTCTGTCGTTTAGGGGGTTGTATAGTTTTTTCCTACAAACGATAGCAACAATCTGACCTGTGTCGGTGCATACTTATTTGCTACTCTTTCTGTAAATCCATGGTGCATCTAGTAGGATATTACGTGGGCCTTATCCGCATCTCCTTATATCGTACTACACGATCTATTACATTAGGGTTCCAACATTTCAAAAGAATTTTTTTTTTATCAAACAGTGTATGATTCATGTCATGATCTTACCAATTAAAAAAAAAAAAATACGTTTTTGATAACAATCAATAATAAAAAGGTTTTACAACTAGTACTCGGAATTCCATAGAATTAAATGATGCAAAATGATGTTAAGAACAAGACTTGTTCAAAGCAATTATTTATAGGCAATTAAGCCAGAAAACGTTAATTAACTATTTCTGAAGGCAAGAAAATTAATTATAAATGATGAACAACTGTCTATGTTAAGTAAAAACTATATTTTCTAGGATAAGAAAAAAGAATAATATAAACTATACATAGTTGGAGATCGATTCCATAATAATTTCTAATCAACTTTTTTTTTTTTATCTACTTTTTTCGTAAATTTTGTTTTATAAAATGCATCACAAATATTGATCATAGGTATATGCAAATATATGAAAAACACGTAAAATACCCAAATGTAGAGCAATGCTCAATTATTTTGCGTTTCGTTAGTTTTATCTCCACTCACTTGCATACATAAGTAGCAGATAAAGCCTCATACATACACATTTACTTATTAACTTAAAGGTTAAATGTTAAGCACTGTGTAGCTACTTATAAAAGCTGGGTGTTCGAGATTGAACTTAATCATTATTAGCTCTCCATTCCACCATCCAGTTACATGAGTAAAACATCCCATCTACAAACTCGACAATGAAGTTGTTACTATTCATTTGTTTCTTCTTTTTATTCACGGGTAAATATTCAAGTTGTTATTATCATTTTTTTAAATGCAAAATTAAAATATAGTGGTATTTATTTTTTGTTTCGATGTTTATAGTTGCACTCGCAGACCTGGGCAGTGATAAACCTTTACTCGGTGGCAAGTGCGCTGTACATATTAAACATAAATGCAAATCGCCTGAGTAAGTGATGATAAATTTAATATTTATACGTGTATGAATCGGTACAGTTGCGATTTATTTCATGCAATATTTTTGCATGCATCTCTAAGAAAACGTTTCTGAAAATTACAAAACTCACGCGTCTCGAACAAATTCCTCAAAATCTAGTTTTAATTTTATGCTTCGAATAATTAATTTTGTTATAACTTTTAGTTTATTCTTTCAACTTGGAATTAATGTATTTGTAGCTTTACCAATTAAATATTTACGTATTATTTTCTCTGCACGTAAACGTATATAACATTTACATGACTTAGGGAAAATTAACAGTTTTTTAAATTCACTTTAGAATTCAACAAGAGTGCAATGTATCTGATGAAGCGTGTGAAAAATGGAGAAAATATGCTGCAGACAGAAATTTATCAGTGGATTAAAATAACAAGAATACTCTATTATCTTTCATGATTACTGAAGCATATCAATGAAATAAAGTACAGAAAAAATGTAATTCAATGAGACGTTGATAAGTTTTGTTATTGGAAACCCTTCGCTTACGTAAAATAAAATTTTTATACATACACTATCTGTGTGATTGTCTCTTCCAATGATTTTTAAGAAAATTTCAACTTTTATGTTTATGAAATTTTTCTTATTATGATTATTAGAAATTTTTAATAAAAATCTACTAGCTTCACAATTTTTTATTTTTATTCTTTGTACAAAATTTACCGACCAACAAAATATCTTCGATGTAATATTTTCATTTTTTTTTTTTTTTTTTTAATTAGAATTTTATTTTTAATTAGTTTATCACAAAAGTGTTATACTCTGTCGTATAGCTGCATCAACAACGTTAATTTTTTCATTCCCCATTCTCTTTCTGTCTTCGTGAATAGTCGTAACGCAGATAACGATTGAAATAAAGCATAAATCTCATCCTAGCCCACATCGGTAGCAACTTTACGAGTGACGTCAATACATCATGAATCCAATATCCAGACGTCGAGTTTAACAATCCTAAAGTTCTTATGGCACTTTTCACGTATTTTTCGGCGTTGGGGAAGATAACAAAATGATTCTAAAAATTTTACGAGATGGGTAAAAATATACAGAAAAAAAAAAATAAATAAAAAAAAAAAAAATTAACTAAAAGCACAAAAATAATTACCTGAACTGTTGGCGCGAACCCAAGCATCTTGGTGTTGATGTAAAACGGCGAGAGGCATTGCACGGTTATCCCATACTTGGCGTACTCGAGCCTAATGGCGTCCGAGAAATACGTGACGAATATTTTACTGGCCGCGTAAACGGCTTGCAACGGAATGGGCGTTAAATCCGTGGCCGACGACACGTTGATTATGGCACCTTTGCGGCGCTTCTTCATCTGGTCGATAACCATGTGGGTCATTTTCGCCGTCGCGCAATCGTTTATGGTAATCATGTCCCACACGTCGTCCTCGGAAATTTTATCGTGGTACTCCAGGCTGTCTGTCATTTTTCCGACATTGTTCACTGTTTTGAGGTTTCGTCCATCGATTAAACACAAGCTTTTACTGTATAACATAATAAATATTAAATGTGACTATGACTATGCGCGTACCCAATATCCCAACGGGTATATTTTTAAGCTCTGCTTCAACTCGCGTCAACTCATTTTTTCCCTTGCTAAAGTCCGCTTGGATCACTCGGACCTCCACCGCGGGGTTTATCTCTTCTATTTCGTTTTTCACCAGTTTCAGTTTTTCCAAAGTCCTACTCACAAGCACAACATTCAAATCTCTTTTTGCCAATTCTTTGGCATATTCCTTTCCAATGCCATCGGTGGATCCAGTAATAACTGTAAGTAATAAATAATAAGGAATCCACGATTACAATGCTGATGAAAATTTCGGCAAAGGAAATTAGTTGAAGATATTAGTTGTGTCTATTAAACGTACATTTTTTTTATTTTATTATTATCGTCACATACAACTGATAGTACATCTGAGATCTTTTTAGGCAATAGGCACGTACCACGTAAGTAGTAAAATTCGTGGCCAGTAAATAATGATTTAGTAAGATTTGTTTTTTAATATTCCCTATATTTTCTATAATTTGCTAGTGAGAAAAAAAAATTACCTGCCCAATCTCCATACTTGTTTTTAAGATCACACTTTTCTGGTGCGAAAAAGTGAACAAGAAGCTTCCAAATTGTCTGAATTATATTAACTATAGTTCCAAAAAATATCAATATCAGCAATAATATGAAGTATTCTAGTGGCAATTCCATCACCGTTCAAATTTCTGCTACAAATACAAAAGTTAGTATTACTTGTAGCTTATTTTATTAGATCTTTTGGAAGTTTAATATAAATTGTGTTGTTAAATCTGCGTAACAGTCGATATTATTTTAGTTCTCTCTACTTGCGTGTAAGGTTCCATAAGCTTATTCTGTTATGGGAGATCTCAATTCCTGCACTTTTATATTATTTTGATGCATCAAAATGTACACGAATTCGTTATTAAAATTAAAAGTAGCTGATTTAATTATTGATTAATGAGTAAACATTTTTATTATTACCATAATTTTTTTCAAAGATACGATTTTTAGGCAATACAATGGTAAATAAATAAGAACATTAAGAAGTAAACAAATATTGAAAATATCACGTTCCATTTTTTTTCAATCAATATAGTTCTGCGGCAAAAAATCGTTACTTGAATATAGATTTATTGTACAAAACCATTTCTAACACACGTGGTGAATTTTGTTTAGCGTAAGCTTTCATATTTATTATATCTTACGGGTTTACATTTACAAATCAATGACAATAAACAACGATTTAGTAGTAATGAGCGTTAAAAGTTACGACTAAAAATTTATTTAAGCTAAGCGATTACTTTTGAAGAAACTGTTTGAAAAAGTACTGAAGTACATTTTTTAAATTAATTTAATCAGTTTTGTAAATAAATGTATTAAAAATTTAATTTTGTATACAATACAACTCTATTGTGAATAATAACATGAACAAATATAAATATATTCTATATATACCTGTAGTTAATAATGCAATAACTCGTTTCACGCGTGTATAAGTATACAATAATCATAATTTTAATTAATACTGATAAACAACATTTGTATAAATTAGCGACTTACTTAATGTTAATACTAAATTAATGGGGTTAGCAAAAATGTTACCAAAAATATTTTTTTAACGAAATAATGATGTGAAAAAAAAATTTTCAAAAAAAAGGAGAGTAATTAAAATTGAAGAAATTTTTTTTAATTGCTAATGAAATGAAATGAACTGCTGAATGAAACTAGAGTATGGCTTCAAAAAAAAAATCTTATGCAAAATAATTGTACGTAGTACATTTATTTTATTACGCATGAAACATACGCTTTTTCCCTGCATTGTTTAATGCTTTTATTGTAATATTAAAATATGAAATCAATTGTATTTTTTCACTTTTTTCATGTAAACCGTGTCACTGGAAAATTTTATTTATATTTTATATAAGTATACAAAAATATTTTAATAAATACATTTAACTCGCCTTGTGTTTTAAGTTACGAAAATAAAAAAATTGTTCCTCTTTTAGTACATGCAGTGCACACTGTTTATATTGTTGATTGCGTTATTGTTATATTATTAATCGTATTTATACTAGGCCGGATAATAAAATCGTAAGATGCAGATTTGTTAGAATGTAATTTTGTGAAAAACAACTTCAAAATGTAAAAATAATTTGTAAAATGTTCTGCGTGGTAAAACTTGATTGAATTACAAGACTTGCCTTTTACTTACCGCCGAGAAATCAAGAAAGCAAGCGTATCCTTTGCTATCTAAATCTACACTGACTTGACAACCAACTATTGCTGAGCAGTCGTATATAAACAACGTGTGATTGGCATGTGATGTCATCGCTCCGTGTCTGGCAACACTTCTGTCTCAGGTTCTCTGTCCACCTTATTCATTATTCATGTATCACATGGTAACTATCAGACGTGCTTCCACCTACTGTAAAGTATTTTAAATACGATTCAAATATCAAGCTGACAAAATTTTTTTCCTTGTTATCGATATTGGATTAATTCCGTCATCGAATTTAACATTTATTATACAATTTAATAAATAATTTATAAAGTCCAGCTTTTTTGTTTTTGATAAAAATATAAATTTATTAATTATTTTATCCCTATGATTTTTCGGTGTGAAATGAATGACCATCAGCAACGTGATTTGTTAGTCTTACACTCTCTTGTCCGTATGCGCATGTACTTATCAACAACAAGTAGTCGCGTCAAAAGAAAATTGGATGTGAATTGCATGAAATATTCATACGAGAGTATACTCACATTTGTAAGCCACCAGAAATTTAAATTTTAAATGTAAGTACCTAAATCTGAAAAAAAAAAACATTCATTCTCACTAATAAAAAACTAAACGCTGCTTTATCATTATTATTATCATTATTATTTTATTTTTTTTATTTTTTTACTTTCATTACCATACACGTAGAGGCTTGGTTAATATTATCTGTACGAAAAAAATTTAAAAAAAATCTCACCGTATCAACATTTTATAAAATATACATCAAAGAGTCTCATATAGAATGTACTTATGTAATATTAATTCACCACCTGATTTTGACCACCTTGCGCAAGAGAATGGATAAAACTAATTTACATATTGTAAAAAAACTCTCGCACATGTTGTATATGACTGTTCCCTTTTGGCCTGTATATCCTATTTGGATGAAAATACACGAGATGCACTTTGCGACATTTTCTTACTCTCCTTCCCTCCCAGAGCAAGTGCACTTACAAAATAGATTTTTCTCAAATAATCGATGACAAACGTTCCATCGAGCGCGTGCTTAGTTTGAAAAATTCGGAAATCAAGTACAAAATGTAATTCACTCAACGAACAACAGTTACGCGTAGAAATTCGGACAATATAGGTGTTGCGGGTACATTTCACGTTTTCTTGTGTTTGAAGTAATCGTCGCGAAACACCTGATTCATGAGCTGACCGATTTTCATCCTCACCCAGACCGGGGCGATCAGGGTAAAAAGGGTCTGCACCCCGTGGGCCCAGTATCCGGCACTGGAGTTCACCTTGCCCAGAGTAGCTATCGCGTTCTTTGCGTACTTCGTGGCGTCAGGTACGAACAAACTCGATACCTGCAACAACATCGGTTGTACGTTAACGTGAATGATAATAGAAAAAAAAAAAAAGAAAAAAAAAAAATGCCCCACCTGCAACCTTTGGCTGAAGGCGTTCATTTTCGTGTTGACAAAGAGGGGCGCGAGGTGTTGTATGGTCAGGCCGAACTTGGCGTACTCGGCTCTCAAGGCCTCGGAGAAGCTGCGCACGTAAACCTTCGTTGCCGCGTAGACCGTCATCAGCGGGAGGGGCTGGAGCTCCGATCCCGAGGATATGTTGACGACGGCGCCGCGGCCGCGCTGCTTCATCCCGTCGATCACAAGACGCGTCATGAGGGTCGTCGCGCCGACGTTCACGTTTATTATGTCCCAGAGCTCGGCCTCCGGTACCTCGCCCAAGTACATTGGGTACTCGTACTGCTTTCCCACGTTGTTCACTGTGAATTACCATTGGGTTTTTCATCTCAGTAATGTTTTTTTTTTTTTTTTTTTTTGCTGTTGATTTGATTTAGGATTGTTTTTTATGGATTTAGAAAATCGTACGATTTTATTATTTTATTTTCATGACATTTTTTTCATACATTTAATATCTCAATGTCTATCGTACATGAATCATGTAGATATTGGGATGTTAAATTATTCTAATTAGCAAGTATAATTATTTCTGCGCGTAGGAGATTCATCATGTTCAAAATAATATTTTTCTCAACTACCATTCCTAGAAAATTGTTCTTTGTAACCTGAAGCTCAAATCTTAAAGTTAATCAAGTTACTATTATTTGTTTTATTTTTCTTGTTTAATTAACAGTTTAACAATTTGAATAGTTTTAAGATAAAAAAAGGTTTATTTTTACATTTTTTAATATTTTTAATGAATGACTCCTAAATCCGAAAGAATTAAGGGCATCTTTAATTTATTATTTTCGGTTACAGTTATAATAATTCAAAACATTCTCCTCCCAACAAAAGTAATTTTTTATAGCTTTGAAGTAGAAAAAAGTTTTATTATGTGTAAACAAAATTTTTACATCTGTTTTTTAAACATATTTGACTGGGAGTGTGTATTAATTTTCTTGCGTTTGTGAAAGCTCCGAATTGTGTGAACCTAATGTTTTTAACATATAACTTTAATATCAGCTAAATCATACATTTTTTGAAATTTATATTTATTTCGTATAAAATTGTAAGTTCTATCAAGTGTTTTCTGATATCTCCTGTTCTGTTCTCGATTGTGCGACCAAACATATTTTATTTGACTTTGAAACATAATATAATAAACTCACCTAGTATACCAATAGAGCAGTTTTCCAATTCAGTTCGAATTTCATCAAAAATTTCTCTTCCCTTGCTAAAATCCGCAGCCACAATTTTTACTTCAATTTTTGGATACAATTCTACTATTTCATTTTTCGTTTTTTCCAACTTCTCCAGAGTCCGGCTGATGAGAATCAAATTTACGCCTCTTGCTGCCAACTCTTTGGCATATGCTTTTCCAATTCCATCAGTGGATCCTGTTACCACTAAAATAACGTATGATAAATTTTAATTGACTTTCCGAGATGTCTAATTAAATGGACATCAATCAGTTGGATGTGAAACAAATTTAAATAGTTGGGTGTGATTCTTTTTACTATGAGATCCACACCATAAATCTTCTATTAAATCCTTTTATATTCAGTTGGAAAAATCACGACAAATTAATTTGTACAAAAATATTTGTTTTACTAATATAAATAAATTAACCCTAGATAAAAAATCCGAAATCGCATAAATCTGTATTTTAAAGTTTGTAATTATTCTAAGCCTCACTTGAGATTCAATAATGTTGAGATTCTTCAAAAATCGGAATCGTAAAAGTTAATTAATTTTTAGTATCTTCTACTTGACTTTTTAAATAAATTTCCAATCATTGCTTACTACACAAATGTTTTATTTTCCATAAGACCCGTAACTACATCTCATAAAACACTGAACGCCGACAGCGTTGAATTACGGCAAACATCACATGAAAAATCCTTTCGCAAAAGCACGACCTTGTATCTTGTGTAATAAACCAGATAGGTATAAGCAGTGGTGAAAAAAAACAAAAAAAAAAAAAAAAAACAGTACACACTTACCAGCCCACTCGCCGAACCGACTCTTAAGGTCCACGGGTGCCGAGTTGAGAATCGGCAGCAGCACTTCCCACGCGGCATTGGCAACTCGATACACCGGATCCAGTAGTGCCCACAAAATGACCAGAATCACCAGAGCCCACAACACGATTTCGAGCGACATAATTATTATTATTTTTTTTTATTTACTCTTTCACCTCGAAATTAATGAACTCGATCGTAAGCAGTATACAAAAAAATTGTGTGTATCAATTGCTCCATTAATTAATTAAACAAGTCCGGCACGTTTCATTGACCCTGTGTACATGTATATGCGCGAGTACACCGGTGAAAGGAAAAATGACGCGAGAGCATGCACATATAGTCCGAAGCGGCAAAGAGCTCTTGTACCCGAAGATGATGATAACGATGTGATTTTATTCTATAGCGTTTTTTTCCCCCCTAGCAATCACGTACAATCACAGAGCACTGGAATCGGTTCGTCGCTGACTTTGCTGTGGGCCAAAACTCCCAGTGACAAAAAAACACACCGCACGCGCGTACCGATATTGTATTCACGGTGGGGTACTTTTTTTGATATCAAACGATGAACGCCAACGCCGAACGCTCGGCGCACGACTGAATCCGCTTGTGTACTTACTTACCGCTGGCTCGCGTCCGTACCGAACTTTAGCCCGAGTGTGACTTTCTCCGCCAGAGAACCTCCGTATGCGCGTGTGTTGATGCGTGTCCTCGTTCGGGGGCTCGGGGCTGTATTACATATTATTATTATTATTATTATTATACTCGCAAGTAGTGCCAGTTTGTTTGTTTGTTGTAATCGGGGACTTTGGTCAAGTTACACGTATAGGTATATGTATCGTGCGCTAATGTCGTTTGGTCAATCAGCGTGGAAATATTTTCATTCTGTGATCGGTGTGTGTGTGTTCCTGCTCGCAAATTTCCATGAATTATTTGTGATCGGTTGTTGTGAAATTAACTCGCGTTATTGCAAAATGTTGTCGATTACCTGGGATTCATTTCTCAATGGTCCGTAGAAATATACGATGCATGAAGCGTTTGTTATAAAAATTTTTTATGAGAAAATATTTACCAGTACCTTTTTTTTATTTTTAAAATACCCACGAAACTTCCTTAAGAACAAATATTTATTGTCTATGTGAAGAACTCCGAACTAAGATAATAAGTTTCTGGATCCTGATTTGTCTATCTGGAGNAGAAGTGGCGATGAAGATTACCGAGATAAAAACATTAAAATATCCAAGGCCTTGGCTCGCAGGCTCGCAAAAGCAAGTAGTGTAAATATTTTACAGAACTAACTTTTTTAGTTATAAAAATTAAAATTGATGAATAATTATTAAAATTGATAGCTGCTACAACTTGATGATTTGTAATTAGAAATATACAATATTGTAAATACACTATTAATTATTAATTTCATTAAATAAATAGAATATTAATTTTATTATTATTAAAATTAAATATTATAACTAAACTGAGATGCAGCTAACTGAGAATTTTTAGAGTTATTTTTTTAATATCTAAAACCATGGAATTGTATCATTTTTCCAGCAAAACCATCAGGTAGTTTGAATTGTTCAAATAAGAAGGAACAGGTCAAAAATAAAGTAGTCACACGCACATACACGGTCCACGATTGCAACAGTGTAAGAATTAACATCTAACCGGTTCGCTCGTACACGTTGCACTATTTCGAGCCAAATTAATTTGCTGGTTTTCGCGTACTTGGGACATAGAGATTCATAGATATTCGTTGACCGTGTGCTTTTCATCGCTGATACAATTTAATTGGTAAATGAACAGTTATTTTTCTTAGCTTGGTGATCGGCATCAATTTATGGCTAGTAATAAAGATCTTGGGCTCGTTCGTTTGGATATTACTGTCAATCACATACAATTCTCAATGGATACTTGGATTATCTGTATTACGAGGAGAAAAACATTGATTTAAGTTTTTACATTTAAAGTGCAAAGTAGTTATCAAATTCAAAATTATTGATATTGTCATTACTAATGTATGTTAGCTGCAAAATATATGGGGTGAAGGGTGAAGGGGAAATGGTTTAGTGCACTATGATACAAAAAGTGTCTGCATAAATTTTAACAACGTTTTTTTTTGTATTTACCAATAATTTCTTTAACTTCAAACAATAACTCAGCGTTTTGCTGCATCAAATTCACACAGTTGAATAATTCGTGTTTCAGGTTAATTGTTAAAGAATAATTATTATTATATAGTGACTCATAAGTAATAAGTAACTGTTTATTTTTCTAGATGTTATTTGATAATTAAATTTTTTAGTGCTTCTTAACCATATCGATGCTAAAATTTTACGTCTCTTTATTATAAAGTGTATGTCACGTACGATATAACACATGTAATACATCTACGTACCATGTAATAAAAAAAAATCGTAACCTGAATACAATAAAACAAGTTATTTGTAAAAAAAAAAATAAATAAAAACAACAAAGATACCACTCACTCGCAAAAATGCGAGTACACTACAGCGTATTAGTACTATATATATTCTTCGTATGATTTTTTTTAAATATAAAGATGTCGAAAAATATCTCAGATTAAAAAATTAGTTACAAAAACAAAATAACAAAAGGTTTATGTGATAAATTCCAAATAATTCATAATAAAATGCCAACTAATATGTGTATTAACTGTTAGGAACGTTTTTTATCCATGTTATTTTAAAACAAATTAAAAAACAAGTATAAAAATACACAAACCTCCTGACCCTAGAATACAATAAATGATTCTATCTTATTAGATGAAATAAGTTTTAGAGCTTTAATTATTTAAATTTTCGTTTAACTTTCAGCCATTAATACAATGTTATTTTAAGCTAATGTAACACACGGTGTACCGTGTAACTGGCTGTCTATCTCTTTTTTGTAGAATAATTAAAACCAATTGCATTCTTGGTTATTAGATATGCCCCGAAAAAAAATCTGTATTGGAAAAAAATTATTGATTGTACCATACAAATAAACAAATATCAGGCATGACACTGGTACATTAAAAACGGAGGACTCCTCGTCTTTTCACGCTCTCTGCACGCCAGCCTTGAAGTAGCCGTTAACTATAAATTGAGTCTCGATTTCTCGCTTCAATGTTTCACTCTACTGTACTGTTACTATTAATGCAACCTATATTTACATACATACTTCAAACTATACTGCGTCACAAGTATACAATCAGGCACTTTTATTCTCATCTTTTTTTTTTTCTTTTTTTTTTTTTCGTGAGGTTTTAGCCCGAACTGCAATCGCAACGCGCGAGCATACAGTGTAATGTAGATTGCAAAATTTCCTCAAAGCCTTGACTGTACAGGATACACGAGTGAGAAACACACATGTGGATAGTCGAGCGAATGTACGACTGACTTGCTCGAAATCGGGGGGACGGCTGTTGGTTAAAAGTTTTTATTGTATACGTGGAAAATATATGAACGATATTCTTTATTGCGTGTGGATCAAACTAATTTTTTTTGTATTACAAAAGCTTATGGGAGGAACAATTTTTTTTCAAATTTCGTAAGTGTATGAATTTCAGATTTTAAAGAGGGAAATTTTTTTTTACAAAGAGTACAATAAATAAAAACTTTGCGAGCTTGCGATTGTACATGGTGCAATCACTTAATTGTGAAAACTGTACAGTGGAACTTGTTGAATTTCTATTCTATTTTTATTAAGAGTTGAAGACAGCAGTCTTTGTTTTAGAAAAAATTTAATTTTTCGTTGAATTCTTATCTTAAAAATATTTTTTAATGTATTAAAAAAATTATTAATTAATTGTTAGTTAAGTATTTCATAAAATAAAAAAGAGTTTGAAATTCGACAGTTTGTATTCAACATCAATAAAGCGCCAGAGATAGTCGAAATGTTTGGAAAGTGATGCTGAATAAGGTGAGCTGTTGGGGCCTCAAGGTAAACATTAAAGAAACTTGTTTCTAAAAAAAATTCGAGTCTCAAGACTGTATGGTAGCCGTAGTATGTAGAAGTGGCGATGAAGATTACCGAGATAAAAACATTAAAATATCCAAGGCCTTGGCTCGCAGGCTCGCAAAAGCAAGTAGTGTAAATATTTTACAGAACTAACTTTTTTAGTTATAAAAATTAAAATTGATGAATAATTATTAAAATTGATAGCTGCTACAACTTGATGATTTGTAATTAGAAATAGTTTTGATGAAATAAAAACAAATTCTCTGGAATTTTACTGCTACAACAGTTAAAAAATCGTTGTTTCTTGCTTCTAATAGTAAACAATAGATGTTTTACTTAAAAGTAAAAAAATTTTTAAACTAATGTATGACAAAAATAGAATATGATGCAAGTTAAAAAAAAATGTATGCTCCTGAAGAAGTCAATATAGCTTTTATGTACCAAGGAATATTACGTCACTTTAACAAGGACCATTACCCACTGGCAAAAAGTAAAATGCATTAAAAGTAGCTACCACGTGTAGTAAAACACTTTATCTAAAAAAGCATATTAACGACGAGCTGTCTTGTATTTTTCAAGCGTTTTAATGCACATCTTCACTCGTAACCCCGACGATGCCGTGGATAATATTAAAAATACACTCAAGCCATTGTGTAAGGTCACTTTGTAAAATGAGCATCTTTTTTGTATAAACAACAGCCACTAGTCACTCGAACTCTGTTTACATATTTATATCATTGGCTAATATTGAAAAGTAGTACCCAACGGGAAAAATGATCGATACGATTTTTTGAGCGTTTGGCGAATAATCCTGTTATCCAAAAAGGATTCCTCGCATCAGAGAACAATCGCCGATCAAGAAAAAACTGGAGCACCAGCATCGTAAAAATAATGTCCGGCTTCGGCGTGCATCGAGAGCGATTGCATTGAATATACGTAAGTACAAATATTCGCATTTTGCCATTATAACGGTAATTTCACTTTTTACCGTCTCTAAAAGTGTATACGCTAATCTACAGCCTACGCTCAAAGAGCACAGGCGCTGCAGTCCGGTAGTTATCGCCCATTGATGATAGGATTCGGGCTACTTGGCTTTTTATCTTCTGCAGGCATGAGAAGGAAAAAAAAAAATTGATTTAAAGTCTCACAACTGCGCCACAATGAGCTACTCGATAGTTCCCAAAACGGGACATTATCGTACACGCACGATCTTTGCATTCATCGCTCTGGGAATATTACAGTATTTTTTTTTTTTTTTTTTCATCCCTTTTGATTATTAGAGGTATTCTTTTTCCTTCCACGTAGAAATGTTCTCCCGGTGAATTTTACCATGCAATGTAGTTTGAACATTTTTTTTTTTTCAAATATACGCAACAAAGGCAATTATTGGTCCCTTATATTTTCATCGAAAAGTCCAGATGTTTGTACGTATTTGAGAAACTAGGAATTCCTCCGCACCGTATTCGCACGCGGGACCCCCTGTGGCACAACAAAATGCATTACACACGCACGAATTTTTGAGGTGCGGGCAAAAAGTGGAAGTAAGAAGGCCCACGCACGCGGTCAGAAAGAAACCAAAAAAATTCACCCGCAGCGAGGGATTCTCGAGGGAAAAAAAAGGCGAAACCAACCGGAGAGGAAGAGAGATAGCCATCGGAAAAGAGAGGAGCCGGCAGGTTGTTCCTTCGCAGTGGAGATAAGGGAGAGAGAGAGAGAGAGGAGGCCGATGAGAGAACTGGAAGGAGCGGCGCGCGTGCGGCGAGAGAAGATCGTCGACCGTCGAGCCGCTCGTATACACACGCCGCCGCGCCTTTGCTCGCGGGAGGATAAGTCGTGATCTTGAAATTTTCGCTCGTGTGTTTGTAGCGGCTTTTTTTCCACCGCCAGTGCGACTTTGGGCTTTTAGACAGTTTTTGCTTTATTTTGGGGAGGAGATGTGGTGCACGTAGTTGGGTGCGAAAACGTCGTCGAGGCGGCGATTGAAATCGTGCCACTCGGTCGATGAATCATCGGCGATTGACGAGAGGTTTTTTGGCAGCCAGTTTTGCGTGTCAGGCTTCGAGGTGAGTTGTAAAGTTTTTTCACCATCTTTTTCGCGATGAATCTTAAATATGATTTCACATGTTTGTGCATTGCGTCTTTTCGGTAAGAGACCCAATAAACTAGTTTTCAAAAGTTAAACTGCAACACGTACCAGTGCGCGAAGAGCAACATTAGTGACGGAAAATTCTATTGTTAATCTTACACATAGTAGACTCTATGTAATTTTAAAAGAAATTCTTTACGATACACATAGGATATTCGAGTTTACCTCTAGTTATTAATTGAAAGTTTTGCAAAATTAACACTGTGGCGTGGACATGAACAATCATCAACTAACATTTGAAAAATTGAGGGTAAAAAATGGGCACTTCAAAATCTTTACCAATTTTTCCACACGAAACGATTATCCATCAGAAATTATTTATAAAAACTTTATTTTAAGTAAACGATGGAAATTTTTAACCATATGTACATTTTTTTTTTTACCCTCATTGAAATTTTCACAAAGATAGTCGGATACGTTGTAAAGCACTACAGCTATGGCTCATTTTTTTTCACGCCGTAGTAACAGTCCATTAGCATATATTGTTGCGTGCATTGTGCAATTTTCCATTTTCACACTCGTTTGCTAAAAACGCTATCGAACATCCTCCATCAATCCAACTATAAAACTGTGCAACACCAATTAATCCCAGCTCCTTTGCAAATATAAAAAAGAAAAAAAAAAAAAAAAGAATTGCCTCTCTTCTACTGTCTAGCGTTTCATCATTCAGTTGTACTTGGACGTCTTTTATAACGTACTAGATCTAAGAAAGCGTGCACCCGTTGACGCGCGTATATCACTTTAATCGCTACTTCATTGCTGGCACACATACAGGTAGTCCAATGGCCATATAATACCGCTAAGAACTGCGTACACAACTTGTCTCTACATAGATATATATTTATGCACGAAGGCAGGTAGGAGGGAAGGCAGGTGTACTCTTATAGTGTCAGTCAGTAGCTCAGACATCTCTGGGCTAACAAGCGCGTCGCAACACTTTATAATGTCCACTGCCTTAATCAGAGACTCGTAAGTATCTATGTGGGCTAGTAGGACTTCCTGGTCGTCCATTCGTGGCTATTATTTTTAATTATGAATATTATTATTATTATTATTATTATTATTAAAACAGTTATTATTATTAATATTGATTTCATTGGTGTAATTATAACAAGTTGTATTAAGTAAATGCTATGCTGTGTATACTTTAACCCACGCTCATTTTTGCTTACTTTTATTTGAAATTCCTAAAAAAATTCCAACTTAAGGAAAATCCAAATAATAAAAAAAAAAACTTTATAACCAGCACGTATATCCAGATCATTTTCTGTGATTATTGCAAATTTTCTCGGATTGATCTGACCGATTCAAGAGGCAATCGTTGCAATCATTACAATTGCCGAAATATGCCCCTGTGGTAATTTCATATATACGCACTAGAGGTAAACCATTCACCGCAAGCAGGCACAATTTTTTGTAAATTCCGTAAAAGTATGCGCTGACTGAGAACGAATTTTTCGTGTTCTGCTTGCAAAGCTGACGGAGTTTTTTACGGTACATGGTAGATGTGAACAGAATATTTAGTAATTTTATTCGATAGTTTTTTCAGGGAATGTTTTATTTTATTTTTTTTCTTTAGTGTGCGTAAGTTATCGATGAATTTAACTTTTAATCCGTTTTTTTTATTTAAAAAATAAAAATAATGTATTATACAATCGAAAAGTATGTCTGTATGTTGACCTACATGTATAAGCCAAGTTTGGGATGTTTTCAAGAGACACGTGCTCACCCAATCGCCATTCTCTTTTAATAAATATCCCGTTATTACAAGTCGACTCTTGTAAACGTAATTATTTTCAGTTATTTATTATGATTCATTTAAATTAAATTAAAATACAACTCATCATGTCTAAAAAACGGTTATTAAATTAACGATATCCTTGACGTTGAGAAAAAAAAAATTATGAGAACTGCAATGTAAATAACGTAATTTTAAACGGTACTTTTTCACTAATGTGTCTTTTTCGTTACTCACCAATGCGTGTCGTAATTTTATTACTTATTTGAAAGAGAAAACTTTCAAACTCTACCTCCTGCACTGTTGAAGCCGTGTGGCTTTGCCACGTGGTCCATAAAGAAGAAAAAAATAATTGCCATTACTTGACGCACGTCCGTGTTTCAGGTGTACAGCTCGACTCGCCATCAGCACCATCGGTCCCAATGACCTCGGCTACTAGCGGTACTCTAAGATGAAAGTATGGGTCCTCGGCGCGATCGTCCTTTGCGCGGCGCTCTCGCATTATCCCGGAGTGCTCGTCATTGCGCAGGAAGTCTGGAGCGCCATTGGAAATGGAGGTGACACGAATAGCATCGAGGAATTCCACGACGACGTTAATAAGGAAACGTATCACTACTCGTGGTCAGACACGAACGCGTTGACCAGATCGACGCTCCTAGATCGCCAGGAGCGTTTGCAGTTCAGGTGCGATCAGGTGGAGACGACGGAGGGGCCGTTTCCCGAGAACCGGGATCCCGAAGCCTTTCGTAATATTCTAGTCGACGACAATCACCAGCTGCTCTATTGTTATGTACCCAAGGTGATTTTTTTTCTTTTTTTTTTTTAACTTTTTTATTCATCTCCCAAAAATGCGTCAATTCACTGGTGATTACAAGTGGTAGGATATTTTTTTAAGTAGAAATTATAAATTTTTTCATTAAAGTTTATACAGAGTACTTTTGTTACATAATAATAGTATGGTGCTCGGAAATAAATTACAAAGTTTATTAAATTAACGATGTATGATGAGACGTATATTTTTAAAATTTTTGCTTGAAAAAAAAAAAAAAAGAAACTACTTTTGTCATAAGTTAAAAAAATTTCATTTTATTTCATTTAGCTATTTAAAAGGAAGATGTTAAAATTAAAAATAGACACGACAAACTTGGCTATCGAATAAAAATTTAGCGGTATCCCATGCAGACATAATTTTGAAAAATAGTCATAAAAATTCTAAATAATTTTTTGACTCTATTGAATTCCACGAGTAAATATAGGCAACATCACCAGAGATGTTTTTTTAGAAAAAATACACCATAATTGATGACTAATCAACGCAATACGCGTCCCTCAGGTCGCTTGCACCAACTGGAAGCGCGTGCTGATGATAGCAATGGGCAAATGGCGAAAGGACAGCTCCTCGGCCCTGGAAATACCGGCTGACTTGGCGCACGCGCCCAACACCTTTCGGCGACTCAGCAACTACACGCCATCCGAGATCCGAGCGAGGCTGGCCAGCCACGATAAACTGATAGTCGTACGACACCCGCTCGAGCGTCTATTATCGGCTTACAGAAATAAATTTGAGGCCAAACATGAGAGAAGCTCCGCTTACTTCCAGTCGCGCTTCGGCAGAAAAATAATCAAGGCAAGTGCGAGAGGGAGATCTCTAGATTTTTACATTTACCAGCTTTTGTGTCTTTAACACTTTTCGGGGCCATTTTTTTAACTTGCCTTGGCTCGAGATAACAATATTAACGAGGCGTTTGAAAAAAGATTTTTTTTTTTCAAGACTACGTTGTTTTTTTTTTTTTTTTTGCAGAAGTACAGAGCCAACCCTTCGGAAGAATCTTTGCTGAGGGGTGACGATGTGACGTTTTCCGAGTTTGTAAATTTTGTGACGGACGACAATGAGAATGGTACGCGAAACGAGCACTGGAACTCCATCTCGGAATTGTGCCATCCGTGCTTGGTCAATTACAATTTCATCAGCAAGTACGAAACGCTGACCGAAGATGCCATGGAAATTTTGGAAAGAATTGGCGAAGGGTCAATAGCGTACGTGAATAGTTATAAAGTTTACATGATTTTCGGAATGATCACCGTTTTAAAAAAAATGGGTTTTATCAAGCTGCGTTGATGAATCCAATGCGAGTGTACATATACTTTTTTGTTCTATTTACAGATTTCCCATGAGGCCACAGAATAGCGAACCGACAACCAAGATATTGGACAACTACTACTCGACCCTGAAGTACAGTCAATTGCGAGATTTGGCGCAGCTCTACCGATGGGACTTTTTTTTCTTCGACTACTCGCTCGAACAACTTCTTGGTTTTTCGATAGCTTAATTGGAAAATATTCACGGACAAATTGTTTAATGTTGTACATTGAAGACGCTAATTATATATAATTTTTTAAGAGCGAATAATTGTTGTATGGTTATTTTTTTGCAAAAGGCAAAAAAAATACACATGATACCATTAAGTGTTTTTTAAACTACGTACTGAACGTCTAGTTTCTTATTATTATTATCTTATAATATTATGTGAAGTCACATGTGCCAAACTTTAAATCATCTAAACTTCATACAACTCATTTAAATGAATTTTTAATTATAATGTAACGTAAACTATATACACGATAATTTTTTTTATACATCGAAAATTTGACCTTAAGCATAAATTTACGCATTAAAAAAAATTTTTTACCATAGTATTTTAAGAGTCCGTACCTTCATGATAACCATAGAGAACCGTAACTAATAATCAAACAAAATTTTATTGTTTTATCTTAATTTAAGTATTTGTGATTTTTGTGTTTCTTAACGCGATAAATGTATGTAATGTGATTAAACTTTTTCACCTAATATTTTAAAGTACAAGGTTTGATATTACACTTTACTTTAATAATGTTCATCAGCTACATTTTAGAGAGAGCATTGCATTTTTAATTTATCATAAATAATTATTCAGTTGCCCGTTATTCGTGAAATTGTGAGATTTTTTGAGATTGTTTTCCGATATCGATGTACTATTTACACAAAGTAGTAATAAGAAATTACTTAAATTTTTCATTTGATCGATTTGTAATGACGTAACAAACAAGAATAATTTTTGATAATGTTCTAATTTTATGGCCAGTATCAAGTTTTTTTCTTCTATTTTTTAAATAAATTTCAAAAGGTCAAAAAAACAAACTTAATTTAATTTTGTCGATTAACAATACACATTTACTAATGGTTTTAAAAGTTGAACACTCGTTCTAAGTGAGCACACCAACTGCATGTGCACACAGTCAGCAAACTTTTGTCGTAGATCTAATCACTTTAGCGTAAAATGTAATTGCACAATTATATTCAAGAGTTGTTGCACGCGATCTACAATTCACATGTGCAGAAATAAGGAGCACTCGTTCGTATAATTAAATCAGTTTTCACTCTAAAGAAAAAGCTATTATTATTAGACACACCAATAATTATGTTGAATAATTTTTGTCGTGAGAACTTTACTGGAATACGCATAATGAAAGAAAAAAAAAATATGGATTACGTTTTCACCTGATAATTTATTTCCTCTCCAAAGTAAATGGCTCTATAAACATTGAAATAGCGTCTTGCCGTTCAAAATTTATTGTGTTTGTAAACTTTTTTTTTTCGCAAGTCTTAAGTACTAAATTCAAATAACAAAACACATTATAAGTAAAAATATACATATCGCACGTTACACTATTTTTTGAGTTTAATAAAATAAATTTATTTTTCCAAAAATTTTTATCACGCACGTAAGTTGTGTGTAAGCTAATATTTATCCAAATAAATGATTCGTATCAGGCTGATAATATAGTTAATTTTAAGAAGGTTTTATAATAAATTTATTTTTACTAATAGTTATTAAAATTTAGCTAATTGGTAAATTACATCGGAAATACAGAAAAAAAATTTAATTTTTAATTATTTTTTTGCATATCGTTCGTTACAATAGTCTTTAATTTTTAAAATTTGTTAATGTTAAAGTCTCATGATATACGATATTATATAAAAAATATTATAGCAATGGAAGATCATTTCAGTCATGACGTTATCAATAATAAAATTTATCGTAAATAATTATTGAGTAATTTTTCCCGTAATCGTATACGAAAATGACAAAAATGATTTAAGTTTTATTTATTAATTTAAAAATCAAGGAAGTTTTTGAAAGTATTGCCCCAATCACCCTTTTCTTAGCTTCATATTACAGAGAATCCCGTATTATTGGAGACAGCTATCGATAATTAATTCATAGACAATAGTTTAAATAATTAACACATGTAAATACAACACTTTCTATCTATCATTTACGTTGACCTAGAAAATTCTAGTAGATAGAAGATCTTTCCTACTTTTATATTGTTTAATGATCCCAAACCACATGTATGATTTAGATATCGTAAAATTATTAAACATGAAAATAAATTGTGTACTCACATAAAAATTTTAATTTAATTTTAAGCTTCGATATCTTGAAAAGCAATTGAATCACCTCTTTATTTTCAATTATAAATTAAAAATTAGCGGTTTTATCATAACAAATACTTAATTCAAAATAAGTTTGAGTTGGAGCTTTCTTCTTCTATACAAGTGCGAATACTCAATTGTACATGGAAGTGCCAAATATTTATTCAAGCTGCACAAATGTTATAATGTACACCAAAAAAATTCAATTGAACATAAAAATTTTAGCTGTACCATTTTCGTTGGCTAAAGATTGTACACAATTTCAGAATTGAGGAATAAGGCAGTAAGCCTACTAGAGGACCTAATTTGTACACATCGTAACCAAAGTATATATTACACCGTGCCAGCACCCAGCGAAGAGCGAACAGCGAAATATGTATGTCTTTGGAATGAGAGAGTGAGAGAGAGTAACGTACCAAAATAAGTATACTTGTAAGTATTGGGTAAAGGAAGAAGAAGAAGGTGGCGCACGTGCTCCCAAAGTCATCAGTCAAACGAAGAATGAAAGGAGGAAAGAACACAGGGGAGGGCAGTCCATTATACGTCAGATGTGCAATTGAATTCGGGTACGTCCGTCGATTGAACTTTATTTATTGTCGGAGGATGACGGCTCGCGTATGTGTAATTTGTCGGGTGGTGCAGAAAAATTTTATCTCCCTCCCTCTCTATCTTTTGAACACGCGGTGTGCTTTTCTCCTTCTCGCTCACGAGACAGACTAAAATTAAAATCGAACCAGGATAAACAAACAGCCAGCTTGGAAATGGGCTGGTGGTGGTGGTATATCGGGGAGTTTGTTTTATTTCGCTTTGCCGATCATCGTGCGAGCTGATTGACGCTTGTTGCATAAGATTTGACGTGCGCTCGGGATGTTGGGCCGATTTTAACGACATTGGTGGGCTTGCGGGGTATGCACACGTGGATTGGATTTGGATTGATTTATGAGAGGGATAAATTATGTATTCGAGTTGCGATGTTATGGGAAATACCGGGTGTTATGTTTTGAAGAGTTTTTCATTGCGATTTTATGATGTTTAGGGCTTCGCTCATAGGTGTTGTGTTGATGATTCGTTTTGTCCACACTTGGGTGATTAGATTACGTTTTTATTTACATAATTTACAAACTTGTGTCATACGTTTGGCAATAAATATTTACATTTTATGCAAAAATTTATTACTTTATNATACTTTTTTTTTTCCCCCATCTTTCGCTCTCTTTGTTTTTCACTTTCGCCGCCCTCCCCAATGGATCTCAACATATTAACGCTGGACCGTTTCAAGGTGACGATAAAGTACAAACGCAATACGTGTATGGACGAGCAACTACGGACAATTGCTCCAATTGGGACGTGACGTAGGCGCCCTTATTTTCATTTATTGATACATGAATACTATACTTAATCATTTCAAGTGGATTTAAGAAAAAAAAATAGATTTCACAAATCTACTTCATTTAATGTTCAAGCTAGTGTCTGCGTGTGATGCACACCAGTGTATCAAACTTATTTATTTTTTTAATTTCTTGAATTTTGTTTTACGCGTTTTATTTCAACTTAAAATTTTTATAATTCATCACGAGTTCCGAAAAAATGCTGAAAAATACCTCGAGTTTTTTTTTTTTGTATAGAAACACGTAACTTGCACATAGCGTTTTATTTCAACAAGATTTGTCATTCCATTTGGCACCACTAGCTGAGTATTCTGAACAATAAAAAGCTTATTTATAAAGTTTTATGGAATTGTTTTTCTAGGTAATTTCTTAATTTCGTCTGATTATTTAGTTAATCAATTAAATAATACTAAGTAAAAAACCTTTACATTTATACAGTACCTTTAAATACAGTAGTGTTTTAACAAATATAATAATGTACAAGACCACATGTCTGACCAAGTTTTTCTTGATCTACTTAAAAAATTTAAAGAATGTATTTTAATTTTAGAATGAAATGTTCCAATTTAAATTATTGAAAAGCGTTGTGATTCCGAAACTAAGAAGAAACATACTATCATATATAATCTTTAACATACCTTCTTTCAATACCTTACTGTTCATACCGATTCACCCAACATATCTTTTAGGATCCAGATATTTATTTTTCATTGTCTCTAAAAAATTATTTTTTTTACCTTTACCCGAACATTAACAGAAAACGATGCCAAATACTTTGGCAAAATTTATTTTTAATTTAGAGGAAAAAAATCGTAACACCAAGAAATTTGCATTATTTTCGTACAGACTCATTTTGTCGTATTTTTAAACACTCTACTGTCGTTACTTCTATAAAAAAAAAATTGCAAAACTTCGTCTCGAACCGTTGGAAGAAGAAGAAAAGTAATTTTTTTTTCTTGGCAAAAACCGCAAAATTTTAAATAACTTATCTCTAAAAAAGCCTAAACGTTTTAGCTAACTAAATATTGTCACATGTAATTAAAAAGTATTCATCATATGGGTTATTTTCCTTACATCTGGTTCCATTGTCTTTGATTTTTCAGTGTATCCGTTCCACCATTTTTCTCGTAACTTCATACACATTGTTGCAAAACCACCTTACAGTTAAATTATTTCTACCGAAAATCCCAAATGGCCCGTACAACGACACTTCTCCCCCATTTTTTGCAAAAAAAAAAAAAACCATACAACTCCACAGGCAAAAAAGCTCTCTCCAGCCCAACAAAAGGTCTTTTAAAATTGAATTTCGCCCAGTGATCATTGCTACTGAAAAATTATGTGAAAAAAGAGAGGGAGAGAGAGAGAGAAATGGATAGGAGTAGGAAAACGAGGTATAGTGATAAAAGTTCTCCTGGAGGAAGAAGAAGAAGAGGAAACAGAAGAAGACGAAGATGAACTCCGGGGAACGTCCCCTCTCCCCGAAGCGAGTAGTTGTTCGCGCGTGCGAGAGCTCCAGTCTTCGTTGAGTCGTAAGCATCGAGCGATCGCTGCCTTTTATCCCTTCACGATTATATTCGCACACTTATACACATAACGCATTTTTCAACACCAAAGCTAGCGATAGACGACGTTACATTGCAGCTGCGGGTGGGTTAATCTGGCTCTTTCTTTTTTTTTTTTTTTTTTTTTTTACTTTTTTTTTTTAAAATAAATTTATTTATTTCTACCAACTTTTTTAAAAATTTTTTTGGGTGTTGAAGATAAAATTTAATATTATAGTGTTTGTAATTTTTCACTTGGATAAAAACCAAAGGAATGATCTGTGTGGTAAATGTAGTTTTTTTTGTTCGCAAGAAAGAAATGCCGGCATCATCGGTGGACAGCAAGAAGCGGAGGAGTTCGCTGAAGGTGGCGATGCAAACCCACGAGACGAAGAACATCCTGACGACATATGCGATCCTTTTGCTACTACTCATTGCACTGTATCTTCTCTACTCGGGAGTATTTGTTTAAATAAATAGATATGATTGATTCGGTGAGAATTATTGTTTGTTAAGTTTTTTTTTTTNCAAGTGATATGTATTCATCTACTATTTAATGCCTGTTCATGAAATTATTTTTATCCTATTATTATTTTTATTCTATTAAATATGCTTTTAAAATATTGTATTGCTTTATACTATTTTCATGCATTGAAATAATAGGTCGATATTTTTATTTTTGCCATATACTCACATGATCTGCTATTGTTAGCTCGATAAATTTTAAAAATATTTTACATCAATTTGTAACCACATGGAGTCTCTTTCTTGTTCCACAGAAGGTATTAATATTTTCCAATTCAAGTTAATTTTTATTCATTAAAATAAAATTTTCTTTTTAAAACGTTAAGATTCTAATTTTTTTTTTTTTCTCCTTTGACGTAATTTTTGCTCGTCAATCAAAACGTCTCATTAATTTTCAAACGAAGCTCGAATCATCGCGTTGATTAATTATTTGAAGCTCAAGTTCGTCCAGAGTTATCAAGTCATTGAGAAAATCGAAATAATTTTCAGGGCTGACGCGCACCGGGACTCGGGCGCAAGGGAGCGCTCCCACACGCAAATACCCACACTCGCCCAAACAATCCCGTGACAGTCCTCAGCCGCCAGACAAACATTCACACTTTCATCGCCAAAACCACATCCGCAACCAGCATCAGCAAGGAATTACGTCTCGTGTAGAAATATTGCCATCATCCTTACCTCGCATCATATAGAAAAAACAAAAAAAACAAAAAAAATTCTCGTGATTAAAAATAAACAAGTTATGAGCGTAGTACGTATAAATCGCGACCGGATGGGTATTGGAGGTTTTTTGCGGTCAGAATACATGTATGTTAGTTCCGCGCCGCCGAATATTTTCATCGGCTTTTAATTTATGGCTCAACCTCGTGACATTTTTTGTCCCAGTTTCTTAATTTTACGTATGTATATATATAGAGGTATGCACACGCGTTATTTTTTTATTGCACAATATCCGACTTGGGCCAATATCAGGAAAATCATATACTATTATTATTAGCTAATTGGTGTGGGACAAACGACAAGACCAATTATCTCGCTCCATCAAAACTGTACAGATGTGTCAGAGCTGCCGGAAAAGAATTCACCAAGAGAAACGTAGGATAGGAAAAAAAAAGAAAAAAAAAAGTCGGAAAATCTACGTGTGTGGTACAAAAAATCGAGAATAGGGAGGAAGAAGAACGTGTACGATCCGACTATTTTTGTTAAAAATTCTTACTGCGTCTATGTGGACCACAAGCGGCTGACTCGCTACATCATCAACGTTGAGTGCGAAAAATTGCGAAAAATTGCCAAAAAATAAAAAAAATAATTAGAAACGCTAGGCGAGTGAACGAGCAAATCGAGCGAGTCTCTGGGAGCGTGGGCGCGATCGGTCGAAAATAACTGATACTTCCAGATAGCCGTGGCCAGCTTTTCGAGAGACGTGATCTATATTTTCAGAGGCTAACCTGCTTAAAAATAACATCTTTGGCTCTTGGGCAGGGAGGAAAAAAAAACCACCTGGAGATGTGCGTGCGCGATGAAGTGATTTTTTTTTTTTTTTTTTTTTTTTTTTGTTCTCGTTTCGAGGAATGGGGGATTTAGTTTGTAAAAGGTGTGGATGGTGGATAGCTTTTGGCTTGTAATCGATGAAAATGCCGAGTTTACGGCAAATCATACAATAAAATAGTTTTTAAAAAATATAAGAGATTAGAAAAATAAGGTCGGGAGGGGCTGGGAGGAGACCACACTATTTTGGCTGGTTTTCGTAATTAATGACACTTTTTGAATAAATCAAGCTAAAAAAATGATGAAAATCTGAGGAATAACTGCGTTTGAAGGGCAAACATTTTTTTCGGAAGAACAAACTTTGGGATATAAAATAAACTGTGACTCTTGATGTGCGTTATGTTTTTTGGCCCCAATTATGCGAGCGACTAGCATCGCAAATTAATTTAACGTAATGATGTCCTCTATAGTACATATTATTTTCTATTTTTAATTCTCAAAAGAATTCAAAAATAACGAGATAAAACAAAAATAGATAGTAATAAATAGAATAACGTTTTAATCGCTGAATCGAGACGATGTTTTCTCTACAGTATTCATACCAAGATTTTTTTTAGCTGATACTATTGATAGTTAGGACGCTTAAATTTTTAGTGCAATAATAACGTCGGAGTTATAGTTCATGGCATATCCTAATATTCATAGAAATTCACATTGAGCAGCTGATCATGTCACGGTATAATAAATTTGCTCTCAATTATATGGATGAAAAATAACATTTTTTGTTCTTCATCAATTACTATTTTTCAAAATTCTCAAATAGTCTTGTCGAATGATTTTTAGAGAAATTAATTCAATACATATTTTTTTGGAAACCTTTTATACGTAGCATAAATTACAAGACAATAATCAAGCGATCATCCTATTTATTCATAGGATAATATAGAACGAATTCATATATTATTAATACAATTTTTTATATGAAGACAAGTTACATCTTGTAATAGGTATTAATTTAATTGTATCAATATGTAATACAAACGTGAGTTATATTAGCTTTCATTTTGTATTACTTATAGGTGCGTGAAAATTATTTGTAATGTTCATTAATATTATACATATATGTTAATTAATGTAGTAGTTGTTAAGATAAATTAATAACTATTTTATCCAATTTTTCATGAAAGTACTTAAATATTGACATTTGTTTTCAATTTTCTAAAGAAAAAAAAATTAATGTGGTATTGTTATTAAAATTATGTGTTTAATTTATATATAATTTAGATAAAAACATTTTCACTCAAAGAATTATTGGAACCAATCATTTAACATAAATATTAGTTGCATGGTTTTAAATAATTGAAAACTTTGTAATATTCTGACTAATTACAATAGAGATTTTCATTTGATAAAATTAATCTGTTATTTTTTTGTGAGTGAAAATTGTAATATTTCCTTTTTCATGTGCAGGAAAAATCAAAGAAGCATTGTATGATAGCATTACGGAAAATAAAATAAGTGCAAGTGATATGTATTCATCTACTATTTAATGCCTGTTCATGAAATTATTTTTATCCTATTATTATTTTTATTCTATTAAATATGCTTTTAAAATATTGTATTGCTTTATACTATTTTCATGCATTGAAATAATAGGTCGATATTTTTATTTTTGCCATCACTTCCAAGTTTTATTTCTTGTAACATTTGATGTATAAGTACACGAAACAAAAAAAAATAAACACCTCGTAATATTCTTCAAAGCCCATCGAAACCTAAACATCTGCTATTGTTAGCTCGATACAAGTATCTGCTGTAGTGGCTATTTTTGCTCGTTGCAATCTCATTTAATTATTTTCGCATTAAGACTCAATTGTGCTTCATTGCGAGCTGAAACTAGCCACGGAGAGCAACAAACAATGAATTCATGCTCATCGGGACATTGGAGGAGAGCTACTGTGGCTTTCAATTAGTTTGTTGAGGGTATAAGCTTCTGCCACTGTCAATGATGATTATGTACGTACATTCCTCTGTTAGTCACTTTACCGATGTTATGATTGCGATTACTCGTAAAAAAAAGTAGTCAAGAGATTAAATACTGAAAAATTTTCATGTAGTGATTTTTAGAGTTTACTGGAAAAAAATTACCATAATTAGTGGGATGCTAACATGCAGAGATGGAAGTTGCAAAATACTTAGATATAATATTTAATTCTTTAATTTGCGTTGAAATTTTTACGAAAGCTTTATTTATTGTAAAATTATTTTTCAAATAAGCAAGCTGTTAATCCCAATTTTATTTAATAGTGAAAAAAAATAAAGAAAATATCCTATACATTGAAAAATAAAAAGTAATCTCTAAAATTTTCTAAAGCAAAACTAGTGCAAAAATTTTGTACCAATAAGTGAATTAATACCGTGATACAAGTGTAAGTTTATTATAGTACACACAAAATGTGCAGAAGTTATTTTTTTACCAGTACATAAGTACTTGTCAAAATTTAGATTCCCACAAAAATTCCTACTTTGCTTCTTCCGAGCGTAAGTATACTATCTGCCCATGAATGGGATGAAAATCTCAGTAGTTTTAAGTATTGTTTAAATTTATTACTTTTTTTCGTGAATAATAATAACAAGCTATTAAAATTTTAGACGAAAACTTTCGTCAACCAGAAGCAATTAGTATTGCCAGCCCTCCTGCAGTGACAGACGTTTATATGACATCACTTTCGTTTTAGCATTTGCTTATTTAACCTAAGAAATGCAGTTTCTTTTAAAAATATACTGCGCATTACGAGAAGAGGGTGAAGTGGCTGTAAATCAATTAATTTAACCTAAAAAAACTTTTTTAAACTCATGTAACACAATGGCAATAAACTGTTGGCGTTTCTATTCATAAAACTCAATTCTCCATTTATTAACTTATTCTTTGCGTGGTGATTATTAAATAGATCGTGATTTGTCCTGGCTGTAATCCATTGGATAAATTAAGCATACCGTATGTATACTATAATTGTACGTATTAAATATTTAATAGTTTAAGTTTTATCCCTATATTTCTTTGAATACTGTAGTTTATAAAACATTTCAGTATTTTAAAATTGAATTTTATGCATTTTAATTTTTATTTAAAAGGCAACATACATACTAAGCTCGAAGTAGAAACTAAATGATATTTAGATTTTAACGTGGTATGGAAATCGAAAAAAAAATTCATAGCTTCTAAAGAAAGCCTTTTATATTTTTAATATCAGTGTCTATAAAATAGTAAAAAATCAATAAGCAAATGTTAAGTTTGAATGTAGTAAAAAAAAATAATGATGAAGATCATAATTTTTTAATGAAGTTACATTTTTACTTTGGATGTAAAAGATAAAAATGTAGTACAAAAATACAAATACTATTCTAGCTGCCAAGTTCAAAAAATTTTATTTAGTGAAATACTTTATGTGCTTTAACCTACTTCGTCATTACTTTTTTTATCATTAAAGTATATTTTTTTTATTGAAATTTTTTTTTAATTTAGACGATATCGATTAATACATCAAAAAATTATAATATTATGAATTATAATTTGGTTACCGTGAAAACCGAAACCAAGCTGACCTAAGAAAATTAATTTGGACACTAAAATACTACTTATTTTTCTTACTACTGAAAATTTACGTTGGGTTTATTTCTCAATTTTTATATAATGCATATATCGCTTTAAACTTCACCCTTATTTATATTTCTAAAGATTTACATGAGTATAATTTAAAATTGTAATGAAATTTA